ACCTAACTCTAGGTAGTTTTTTAAAAGGGTACAAATATAACACCCGCCATTAACCTGGAGCTGCCCTCTGCAGTACATCTTCCTCCTACGGGCCCAGGACGGGCTTACCGGGTGTCGGCGGGAAGCTGGGGAGGAGAGCGGCGGCGAACATCCGTGCGCCAAACCCCTCCCCGTACTATGGGATCGGGAGCGACGCAGATTGCATCACTTCCGGTCCCTGAGCTGTCATTGCTCGGCTCCTGGAGCCTGCGATCTGCACTTCAATAGCTCATTTGGAGTGTAAAGGTGACACTCGGGGTCTTTTGGACCCCCAGCATCACCTTAAAGAGGACCTGTCACCACCAATATGCTATCACATGGGGGGCTTGTAAGCCCTCCTATGTGATAGCAATTAAAGTAAAGGAAAAAAAAAACAGTTTTAATAATAACATTAAATAAAATAAATTGTAAAATGTAAAATAAATGTTTGAGTCCCCCACTCCTGCGAGCATGCGCGTTGTCACGTAAACACGCGTCGGGTGCGCCTACTTATGAAAACGACGATCACGCTACACATGTTGGGTATCGCCGTGCACGCCGGAGTGAGAGCAATAATTATAAGACCAGTATTTACACGTATCTCCAAACTGATGACCTGTGGGGGCTTTTAAAGCGTTGTCTAGGGACTTTTTGGGGTACTGAATTCTGTCGCCGTTTCACGGACGCACACAATTTTTAACCTGGGCATTTTGGGTATCTGTTTACTCGCCGTAACCTCATCTTTTATAGTTTATAACAAACATTGGTATTTTATTGTGTTTTGGGGCACTAAATCTAACTAAAGTGCATTTTTCACAAAATTTTTGGGTTTGATAATAAGTTGCGCTAATATCGTGTATTGAATAAAAGTTCTAATTTTTATATAAAACTATTGTCTCGAGTGCCTAAAAAACCCCAATCTCCAAAATACCCTCTTTTTTGCGCTAATATCGTGCAATATAAAAATTTGCCACTACCACCTTTTTTTTCTGCAGGGTCTCGGCTTTCAGAAAATATATCATGTTTGGGGGGTGTTAAGTAATTTAAATAGTGAGTGCAAAAAATGGGGAAAAAAAGGCCTTTGTCTTTAAGGGGTTAAAGTCTCCTACTCTTAAAGGGACTGGACGTGGCGCGCCCTCAGAGAGGAATGAAGGGGGTGTGGCCTCCCAAGAGAACCTGTCACTTTGCCCTGAATGGGCGTGTTTTAAACCAAGAACCTAATGCCATGTATTGAAAATCCTCCATGTGAACCTTCTTCTTCCAGAGCCTGAAGCAGTTCCTCTACTTTGTGCGCAAGGAGCGCGCGCACCTCACCCCCGAGAACCTGGAGGAAAGCTTGCAGTTTGGCTCGGTGAGAGGGTCCTACATTGCCGCCCTGCTGAGGCTGATGAACGGGATCTACGCCCCCTACATCTTCGGGAACACCAGCTGGCCTGAGAGCATGCGCAACAATTTCTCCGCCAACGTTCACCGCTTCCTTGCTGCGCTGACGGGTAGGTCTCCGCCCCTGGCAACCGGCGCCACTTGTCCTTATACTGAACCAAATATGGCCGCTTGGAGTTTGTAGCGTTGTCTTTAAGGTCCAATTAAACTATTCTGTGTGTGGAAGCAGTTGGTCTCTTTGCAGAGGTTTGACACGGCCAATGCCAAGTCAGAACTATGGCTTTGCATCTGCTCCCTGCTGATTGGAAAGCTCTGGCTGTAACTCAGTACGGAGTGTGTCGGACCTCTGCAAGGAGACCACTGCTTCCCTACTGAAGACCTATAGCTATGCAATCAGTTCATGCTCCCTGCTGATTGGAAAGCTCTGGCTGTAACTCAGTACGGAGTGTGTCGGACCTCTGCAAGGAGACCACTGCTTCCCTACTGAAGACCTATAGCTATGCAATCAGTTCATGATTCCTGCTGATTGGAAAGCAAAAAGAAAATAATAAAAAATAAATGAAGAAATAAATAGTTAATAAAAAATAAATAAATAAATGAAAAAATTATATATTTCCCAGTATTGTACCAAAAAAAAAATTCTACCAAATGGAAGTGTTTTTATGTACTTAAAAACAGCGTAAAACCATAAAACTATTTAGGTCAGCAGATTAAACATATTCTATTTTACTGATGCGTACTGCAAGTTTGGTCTCTTGGCATCTAGGCTTCAATGACCTTTTGGTCCTAAATGGGTTAATCTTAAAGCCGAGCTCCAGGCAAACAACTTAATACACAGATAAAACACATACATGGGAGCTGCTTTACCTGCCAAAGGATTTGTATTTCCGACCTTCCAGTCCCGAGAATTGCACAGCTCTACCACACAGCACAGCCCTGTCTAGAAGAGCAGAGACCTGATTTTTCTCTGCTGCAGTTCAGGTCATTTACAGGTCATGCCCCTCCCCCAGCCTGTGACTGGACAGTGAAAGGAGAAGCAGCAGACTGATGAGCTCATCTCCCTGTCACTCTGCTCTCTCCTCTTATCAGCAAGTCCCTTGTCGGCACATACATTAAAGGAGAACTATGAGGAGTGCTTTTCACTCACCTCATAGTTCTAGCCGACCTGTGACAATGAGACTGTCACAGGTCGGCTCAGTAGATTGGGAGGTGAGCGAACACATACCGGCGTTCGCTCACCTCTCGATCCTGTCCTGGCTCTCTGCCGTGAAAGGGGAGGAGCTGGACTCCCCGCTCCGATCCGCCAGCGCTGACTGCCATCTGGTTGCC